TGAAATGCTTCTTACGAAGCCACTCCTTCGTTGCCCGGGCGGTGTGTTTGGGATCATTGTCATGCTGAAAGACCCAGCCACGTTTCATCTTCAATGCCCTTGCTGATGGAAGGAGGTTTTCACTCAAAATCTCACGATACATGGCCCCATTCATTCTTTCCTTTACACGGATCAGTCGTCCTGGTCCCTTTGCAGAAAAACAGCCCCAAAGCATGATGTTTCCACACCCATGCTTCACAGTAGGTATGGTGTTCTTTGGATGCAACTCAGCATTCTTTGAGTTTTTTCCAAAAAGTTCTATTTTGGTTTCATCTGACCATATGACATTCTCCCAATCCTCTTCTGGATCATCCAAATGCACTCTAGCAAACTTCAGACGGGCCTGGACATGTACTGGCTGGGGGTACTGCAGGATTTGAGTCCCTGGCGGCGTAGTGTGTTACTGATGGTAGGCTTTGTTACTTTGGTCCCAGCTCTCTGCAGGTCATTCACTAGGTCCCCCCGTGTGGTTCTGGGATTTTTGCTCACCGTTCTTGTGATCATTTTGACCCCACGGGGTGAGATCTTGCGTGGAGCCCCAGATCGAGGGAGATTATCAGTGGTCTTGTATGTTTTCCATTTCCTAATAATTGCTCCCACAGTTGATTTCTTCAAACCAAGCTGCTTACCTATTGCAGATTCAGTCTTCCAAGCCTGGTGCAGGTCTACAATTTTGTTTCTGGTGTCCTTTGACAGCTCTTTGGTCTTGGTCATAGTGGAGTTTGGAGTGTGACTGTTTGAGGTTGTGGGCAGGTGTCTTTTATACTGATAACAAGTTCAAACAGGTGCCATTAATACAGGTAACGAGTGGAGGACAGAGGAGCCTCTTAAAGAAGAAGTTACAGGTCTGTGAGAGCCAGAAATCTTGCTTGTTTGTAGGTGACCAAATACTTATTTTCCACCATAATTTGCAAATAAATTCATTAAAAATCCTACAATGTGATTTTCTGGAGAAAAAAAATCTCAATTTGTCTGTCATAGTTGACGTGTACCTATGAAGAAAATTACAGGCCTCTCTCATCTTTTTAAGTGGGAGAACATGCACAACTGGTGGCTGACTAAATACTCTTTTCCCCCACTGTAATACAGTATAATACAATACAGTACAGTAATACAGTTCACACTCAAAAAGATTAGCCTACTGGAGCTAGTTTAATTTATTTACCCAAGAGAGCATCGCTAGGCCTATATATATACATATATATCTATATATATATATATGGGCTTTTATGTTTTTCTGTCGTGCATACTGTGCAGTAGCCTATATCATATACAGTGGGGAGAACAAGTATTTGATACACTGCCGATTTTGCAGGTTTTCCTACTTACATAGCATGTAGAGGTCTGTAATTTTTATCATAGGTACACTTCAACTTTGAGAGGTGGAATCTAAAACAAAATTCCAGAAAATCACATTGTAGGATTTTAAAGTAATTAATTTGCATTTTATTGCATGACATAAGTATTTGGCAGTGTATCAAATACTTGTTCTCCCCACTGTATGTATTGGATAACGGCACAATCATTTGGCCTTTTTTGGGCTTGGGCTCATTAAATGTCCTTAACGTAGGGCTCCTAAAATGTATTTTATATATGGCTCATCAGGCTCAGGTAGTGTCAGGTTTGAATTTCCATGCTGATCAAAGCTCTAATCAAATCCAGACATATTTATATGCTTTATATTGCTTTTGAATGACACTTCCGGTTTTGACGGAAATACCAGGGTTACCCCGGAGAAAAGTGATTTATTCTCGGGATGGAACATTTGTAAAATACCGGGACAATATTCAATCCTAGTAGCTGGCTATTAACAGTGAGTAAGGTTCAGGGCAGGGTACTGGGCTGAGGCCGCTGGCTAGTGGTGACTCTTTAACAGTCTGATGGCCTGGAGATAGAAGCTGTTTTTCAGTCTCTCGTCCCAGCTTTGATGCACCTTTACTGTTTCCGCCTTCTAGATGGTAGTGGAGTGAACAGGCCGTGGCTCGGTTGGCTGAGGTCCTTGAGGATCTTCTTGGCCTTCCTGTGACACCGGGTGCTGTAGATGTCCTGGAGGGCAGGCAGTGTGCCCCCGGTGATGCGTTTGGCTGACCACACTACCCTCTGGAGAGCCCTGCGGTTGCGAACAGTGCAATTGCCATATCAGGCGGTGATACAACCTGACAGGATGCTCTCAATAATGCATCTGTAGAAGTTTGTGAGGGTCTTAGGGGCCAAGCCAAATGTCTTCAGCCTCCTGAGGTTGAAGAGGCGCTGTTGCGCCTTCTTCACCACACTTTCTGTGTGAATGGACAATTTCAGGTCATCAGTGATGTGCACGCCGAGGAACTTGAAACTTTTCACCCTCTCCACTGCAGCGCGGTCCATGTGGATGGGGGTGTGCTCTCTCTGCTGTCTCCTGAAGTCCACGATCAGCTTTGTTTTGTTGACATTGAGGGAGAGGTTATTTTCCTGGCACCACTCCGCCAGGGCCATCACCTCCTCCCTGTAGGCTGTCTCATCGTTGTTGGTAATCAGGCCTACCACTGTTGTCGTCAGCAAACTTGATGATTGAGTTGGAGACGTGTGTGGCCACGCACTCATGGGTGAACAGGGAGTACAGGAGGGGGTTGAACACGCACCCCTGTGGGGACCCCGTGTTAAGGATCGGCGTGGCGTAGGTGTTGTTGCCTACCTTCACCACCTGGGGTCGGCCCGTCAGGAAGTCCAGAACCCAGTTGCACAGGGCCCCGAGCTTAGTGATGAGCTTGGAGGGCACTATGGTGTTGAAGGCTGAACTGTAGTCGGATGAACAGCATTCTTACATAGGTATTCCTCTTGTCCAGGTGGAATAGGGCAGTGTGCAGCGCAATGGCGATTGCGTGGTCCATGGATCTGTTGGTGCGGTATGCAAATTGTAGTGGGTCTAGGGTGTCGTGTAAGGTGGAGGTGATATGATCCTTAACTAGCCTCTCAAAGTGCTACGAGGCTGTGCAACAAAGCCCTGCAGCAATGGCAATAGAGGTGTAAAGATCGACGAAGCTGATTTTGTGGCATTGTTGCTCATTACGATCAGAGGCGCAGATCAAATCTGTTCTTGTGCGATGTTGATTCAACTTAATTACTTTGATTCGGATCATAAGCAGCCATCAACAAATAAAGGATGATTACTGTAAGATAATCGAGCACATTACAAACACTGTCTCGTTGTGTAATGTGATCATAGACATACAGTACACACAGTGTATTGTGTTTATACGTTATAGTGGTGCTACAGTGTATTGTGTTTATACGTTATAGTGGTGCTACAGTGTATTGTGTTTATACGTCATAGTGGTGCTACAGTGTATTGTGTTTATACGTTATAGTGGTGCTATAGTGTATTGTGTTTATACGTCATAGTGGTGCTACAGTGTATTGTGTTTATACGTTATAGTGGTGCTACAGTGTATTGTGTTTATACGTCATAGTGGTGCTACAGTGTATTGTGTTTATACGTTATAGTGGTGCTACAGTGTATTGTATTTATACGTCATAGTGGTGCTACAGTGTATTGTGTTTATACGTTATAGTGGTGCTACAGTGTATTGTGTTTATACGTTATAGTGGTGCTATAGTGTATTGTGTTTATACGTCATAGTGGTGCTACAGTGTATTGTGTTTATACGTCATAGTGGTGCTACAGTGTATTGTGTTTATACGTTATAGTGGTGCTACAGTGTATTGTGTTTATACGTTATAGTGGTGCTACAGTGTATTGTGTTTATACGTTATAGTGGTGCTACAGTGTATTGTGTTTATACGTTATAGTGGTGCTACAGTGTATTGTGTTTATACGTTATAGTGGTGCTACAGTGTATTGTGTTTATACGTTATAGTGGTGCTACAGTGTATTGTGTTTATACGTCATAGTGGTGCTACAGTGTATTGTGTTTATACGTTATAGTGGTGCTATAGTGTATTGTGTTTATACGTCATAGTGGTGCTACAGTGTATTGTGTTTATACGTTATAGTGGTGCTACAGTGTATTGTGTTTATACGTTATAGTGGTGCTACAGTGCATTGTGTTTATACGTCATAGTGGTGCTACAGTGTATTATCTGACTCTTCAGTGAGGATAGCAGGGCGTCTGAACCAACAAAGAAAGTTGCAGCGTGTCTAATTTAATTTCTAGCATTATTTGTTTGAGCAATATCTCTCATAGAGAGGGGAAGTCAGCCAAATGTCCTGTAGGCAGTTTTCATTACTCAGCCGTTTCAGAAACATTTTCAATGATATCACACTACACATGAGTAGTGAAACCGCAATAGTGTCCGTGTACAGTCAGTGTATACCGTTCTTTTTCCATGCAAAGCCCCCTCTCCTCTCCCATCAGCCACTGTAATTACAGTGCAGGCAGACTGACTGGACCCTGGGCCTGGCACTCTCTGTTATTGTTTTTGATCTCATAACTTCCTCTGATGGAATGGGGACTGACTGACTGGGGCTGTGTGACTCCGACCAGCGGCTGGGGCCCATGTTGTCATAATGTTAGCTGGAAACCAAATTGGGGACTCCATTGGAACGTTGTAGGAATGTTCACTGTTTGCTGGGCTAGAGCTGCATGGATCTGGCTGCAGCTGTTTCCATTTGGTGGTCTTGAGGCAAACATGTCCACTCAGCTCAGCCACCGCATCCAGGCCTAGGCTGTCACACTCAGACAGAGAGAGTGGGAGGACAGATTGATAGGAGCTAAGAGAGAGAGAGAGAGGAGAGAAATAGAGAGTGTAGAGAGAGAGAGAGAGAGAGTAGAGAGAGAGAGGGGGGGGGGGGGGGGGGTGAGAGGAAACCTAGAAGTTGACATTAATTGTGAAGCTGCATATGAGTTTATGAAACTGCATGTGAGAGAGAACTGTGCGTTCCATATTATTTTCTTGAGTCTCTAAAAGCCTTAAACAAAGCATAATCACTGCAGCTCTAATTGTTGTCTTGTCTCTCTGACAGAGATGGGGGGTGCTGCCATGCTCACAGTGCTGCTGGCTGGGATGTGCCTGTGGACCTCCACCGCTCATGCAGGTAGTTCAACAAAAGTGGTGTGTTTGTGCTCTAGTTTACATAATCACCAGTGTGTTTGTGTGTTGTATATCTTTGTGTATTTGTGCCTGTCCTTTTGTTTGTGTGTTTATGTGTATCTGAGTGTGAGTGAGTGTGTTGCTGCTGGGGAATCAGCTGGGTGCAGATGTGTGTGTACTGTAGATGAGAAGTGCTCGTTGTTGTATGGTACTGAAACAATAGAGCAAAGGATGAGTGGGTCTTCCCAGACTCAGCCCCAGCATCAGCACCCAGCCTCAGCCCCAGCCTCAGGCCCAGCCTCAGGCCCAGCCTCAGCCTCAGCCTTAGCCCCAGCCTTAGCCCCAGCCCCAGCCCTAGACTCAGCCCCAGCCCCAGCCCCCAGCCTCAGTCCCAGCCCCAGCCCCAGCCTCAGCCCCAGCCTCAGTCCCAGCCCCACCAGACCTGGACCTTCTCTCACCACTGCCTTTTATATTTTGTAGATCAGTCATCCGTGGAGTCATCAGAGGGTAAGTTTGTTTCTGTCTAATAATGTCAACCACAGATACTCTATAGAGCTGTGTAACTGTTTATTATAAATCTGTCCTGTGTCTTTATGTTCACGTTTGTGTTTTGTGTGTGCGTGCGTGTGTGTGCGTGCGTGTGTTTGTGCATACGTACACAGCACACACACTCACTGGTTCCCTCTCCCCCAGGCCCTGACGACAGCACCGACCTTCTGTGTACATGTGAGAACAACAAGGGGACGTGTACGAACGGCACCTGCAGGGGTGACTACTGCTTCTACACCAAGGTGCATGGCAGAGAGGAGAAGGGCTGCTTCCAGAAGGACCACCACAAGGAACAGTGCTACACCAACTTCCTGGGACTGTACGTCCACTGCTGCTCCAAGAACCTCTGTAATGTCAACAGCACCGCTCCTCCTGACCCAGGTCAGAACACTGTAGCTACTCTAGAACCTCCACTCAAACAGTCTAGAACCTCTGTAACACCAACAGCTCTGCTCCACCAGACCCAGGTCAGAACACTGCAGCTACTCTAGAAGCCTCTCCAACAACCTAGAACCGCTAATGGCATGTCTGGTCTCATATGAGGTCCATACTTCTTGTTTCCCTTCTTCCCCTCTATAATCAGGGACTGATTCAGACCCGAGACACTCTCTCGTCAATCAGTGACTTGAATCAATCAATTAACTACCAGGCAGAAAATGAAACCAGCAGTCAAACTTGAGGCTCATATTTCAGTAGTTCTACTCTGGAACAACTCCTCTGGGAGTCTGGCTAACACGGCAGTGTCATACAGAATTCTCTGGGAGTCCGACTAACAGGGCAGTGTCATACAGGTCTCTCTGGAGTCCGACTAACAGGGCAGTGTCATACAGAATTCACTGGGAGTCCGACTAACAGGGCAGTGTCATACAGGTCTCTCTGGGAGTCCGACTAACAGGGCAGTGTCATACAGAATCCTCTGGGAGTCCGACTAACAGGGCAGTGTCATACAGGTCTCTCTGGGAGTCCGACTAACAGGGCAGTGTCATACAGGTCTCTCTGGGAGTCCGGCTAACACGGCAGTGTCATACAGAATTCTCTGGGAGTCTGACTAACAGGGCAGTGTCATACAGGTCTCTCTGGGAGTCCGACTAACAGGGCAGTGTCATACAGAATTCTCTGGGAGTCCGACTAACAGGGCAGTGTCATACAGGTCTCTCTGGGAGTCCGACTAACAGGGCAGTGTCATACAGAATTCTCTGGGAGTCCGACTAACAGGGCAGTGTCATACAGGTCTCTCTGGGAGTCCGACTAACAGGGCAGTGTCATACAGAATTCTCTGGGAGTCCGACTAACAGGGCAGTGTCATACAGAATCCTCTGGGAGTCCGACTAACAGGGCAGTGTCATACAGAATCCTCTGGGAGTCCGACTAACAGGGCAGTGTCATACAGAATCCTCTGGGAGTCCGACTAACAGGGCAGTGTCATACAGAATCCTCTGGGAGTCCGACTAACAGGGCAGTGTCATACAGAATCCTCTTGGAGTCCGACTAACAGGGCAGTGTCATACAGGCCTCTGATACCCCCTGGTGGCTGTTGGTGGGCTTTTATATCAAAATCATCTTGGCTTTCTGCTATTCCCTCTTACCTGTATGACTGTGTGTGTGTGTGTGTTTACTGTCCAGCAGGTGAGCCTACAAGGGAGGAGAACGGTGTGATTCTGCTGGTGGCTGTCCCCCTGCTGCTGCTGCTGATCCTGTCTGTGGGTGTGTGTGGCCTGGTGTTGTGGCTCCGCTCCAGACCACAGCACCACAGAGTTGGCCACAACGAGGACCATGACGTCACCATGCTCAAGGTCCCCAGCGGGGCAGATCCCACCTATGGGGTAAGAATGGAATTTAATGAAATTGAATAGAATTGTATTGATACAAAGGAGGACATTTAGATGTAACAGAATCAGTACCAAGATCACTGCCACTTAGCAATAATATTGGTACTTACAGTATATTATCAAATTGATACTCTTTCTGTGTCTGCAGGATGTCTTTGATGAGTTCTGTACCTCAGGCAGTGGGACTGGTCTGCCATACCTGGTACAGAGGACCATGGCTCAACAGATCTCTCTGGTCGAGTGTATCGGTAAAATACTCTCCTCCATTCTCACTCCCTCCTCTATTTCTCTCAGTGTCTCACTCGAACTCACTCGTTCATGTACCAGCATGTAATGGTTTATGGACCCTTTGGGTTAATTTCTAGTCTTACTAGTGTGATAACGTTATTACACCAACCCACTCCATCTCTGCTGTGTTTCTGTTCCTCTGTTCTGCTCTCTACCCAGGTAAGGGCAGGTATGGAGAGGTGTGGAGAGGCACCTGGATGGGAGAGAGTGTTGCAGTGAAGATCTTCTCCTCCAGGGATGAGCAGTCTTGGTTCAGGGAGACAGAGATTTACAACACTGTACAGCTCAGACACGACAACATCCTAGGTGAGTCAGCATAACATTTACATTTACATTTACATCATTTAGCAGACGCTCTTATCCAGAGCGACTTACGAATTGGTGCATTCAACTTAACCCTGTTTAGCTCTCAATTTCTACCAATTCCCTTGGATTCAAAATAGTGTTTGTTTTCTTTCAATGAATTCTGGTACACTTGATTTAGCTTGCCTGGCCTGGTCTGACTATCACAATACCTTCTGTCTTCTCTCCCCCAGGCTTCATAGCGTCTGACATGACATCTAAGAACTCCACTACTCAGCTGTGGCTGATCACCCACTTCCACCAGCTGGGTAGTCTCTACGACTTCCTCCAGTACAGCAGCGTGGACCCAGAGGGTTGCCTAAGGATGTGCCTGTCTGTAGCCTGTGGTCTGGTCCACCTTCACACAGAGATACTCAGCTGCCAGGGCAAACCCGCCATCGCCCACCGAGACCTGAAGAGCCGAAACATCCTGGTCAAGAGGAATGGACAGTGCTGCATCGCTGACCTGGGTGAGAGGAGGAGAAGGTGGAAGGAAAGGAGAGGGCTGAAGAAGAGGGCTGAAGGAGAGGGCTGAAGGAGAGAGGGCAGAAGGAGAAGGCTGAAGGAGAGGGCTGAAGGAGAGGGCTGAAGAAGAGAGGGCTGAAGGATAGAGGGATGAAGGTGAGAGGGCAGAAGGAGAGGGCTGAAGGAGAGAGGGATAGAGAGGAGAGAGCTGAAGGAGAGAGGGTTGAAGAAGGGAGGGCTAGAGGAGAGAGGGATAGAGGAGAGAGGACTGAAGGAGAAGGGGCTGAAGAAGAGAGTTCTGAAGGAGAGAGGGCTAGAGGAGAGAGGGCTGGAGAGAGGGCTGAAGGAGAGAGGGCTGAAGGAGAGAGGACTAAAGGAGCAAGGGCTGAAGAAGAGAGGGCTGAAGGAGAGAGGGCAGACGGAGAGATGGCTAGAGAAGAAAGGGCTAGAGGACAGAGGGATGAAGAAGAGAGGGCTAGAGGAGAGAGGGCTGAAGTAGAGAGGGCTGATGGAGAGAGGGCTGAAAGAGAGAGGGCTGAAGGAGAGACGGCTAGAGAGGAAAGGGCTGAAGAAGAGAGGGCTGAAGGAGAGGGCTGAAGGAGAGAGGGCTAGAGGAGAGAGGGCTGAAGGAGAGAGGGCTAGAGGAGAGGGGGCTAAAGGAGAGAGGGCTGAAGGAGAGAGGGCTGAAGGAAGAGGGCTGAAGGAGAGAGGGCTAGAGGAGAGAGGGCTGAAGGAAACAGGGCTAGTGGAGAGAGGGTTAGAGGAGAGAGGGCTGAAAGAGAGAGTGTGCTTAAGGAGAGAGGGCTAGAGAGGAGACGGCTGAAGGAGTGAGGGCTGAAAGAGAGAGGTCTAAAGGAGGGGGCTGGAGGAGAAGGCTGAAGGAGAGAGGGCTAGAGGAGAGAGGGCTAGAGGAGAGAGGCCTGAAGGAGAGAGTGCTGAAGGAGAGGGCTAGAGAGGAGAGAGGGATAGAGGACAGAGGGCTAGAGGAGAGAGGGCTGAAGGAGAGAGGGCTGAATGAGAGAGGGCTAGAGAGGAGAGGGCTGAAGGAGAGAGGGCTGAAGGAGAGGGCTGAAGGTGAGAGGGCTAGAGGATAGAGGGCTGAAGGAGAGAGGGCTAGAGGAGAGAGGGCTGAAGGAGAGAGGGCTAGAGGAGAGAGGGCTGAAGGAGAGAGGGTTAGAGGAGAGAGGGACGAAGGACCGAGAGGGCTAGAGGAGAGAGGGTTAGAGGAGAGAGGGCTGAAGGAGAGAGGGCTGAAGGAGAAGGCTGAAGGAGAGAGGGATGAAGGAAAGAGGGGTTAAGGGGCAAGGGCTGAAGGAGTGAGGGCTGAATGAGCGAAGGCTGAAAGAGAGACGGCTGAAGGAGAGAGGGCAGAAGGAGAAGGCTGAAGGAGAGAGGGCTGAAGGAGAGAGGGCTAGAGGAGAGAGGGCTAGAGGAGAGATGGCTGAAGTAAAGAGGGATAGATAGGAGAGGGCTGAAGGAGAGGGAGGAGTAGAGAGGTCAGAAGGAGAGGGCTGAAGTAGTGAGGGCTGAAGGAGAGGGCTAAAAGAGAGAGGAATGGAGGAGAGAGGATTGAAGGACAGAGGGCTAGAGGAGAGGGCTGAAGGAGAGAGGGCTAGAGGGCTAGAGGAGAGAGGGCTGAAGGAGTGCAAGGCTGAAGGAATGAGGGCTGAAGGAGAGAGGGCTGAAGGAGATGGCTGGAGGAGAGGGCTGAAGGAGAGAGGACTAGAGGGGAGAGGGCTAGAGGAGAGAGGGCTGAAGAAGAGCGTGCTGAAGGAGAAGGGCTAGAGAGGAGAGGTCTGAAGGAGTGAGGACTAGAGGAGAGATGGATAGACCCGAGAGGGCTAGAGGAGAGAGGGCTGAAGTAGAGAGGGAAGAAGTAGAGAGAGCAGAAGGAGAGGGCTGAAGGAGTGAGGGCTGAAGGAGAGGGCTAAAAGAGAGAGGAATCGATGATAGAGGGCTAGAGGAGAGAGGGCTGAACGACAGAGGGCTAGAGGAGAGAGGGCAGAATATGAGAAGGCTGAAGAAGAGAGGGCACAATGATAGGGCTGAAGGAGAGCAGGATGAAGGAATGAACACTGAAGGAGAAAGGGCTGAAGGAGAGGGCTGGAGGAGAGAGGGCTATAGGGGAGAGAGCTAGATGAGAGAGGGCTAGAGGAGAGAGGGCTGAAGGAGAGAGGGCAGAATGATAGGGCTAAAGAATAGAGAGCACTGAGGTAGAGGGCTACAAGAGAGAGGAATAGAGGAGAGAGGGCTAGAGGAGAGATGGCTGAAGGACAGAGGGCTAGATGAGAGAGGGCTAAAGGAGTGAGGGCTGAAGGAGAGAGGGCTGACGGAGAGAGGGCTAGAGGAGAGAGGTCTAGAGGAGAGAGGGCTAGAGGAGAGAGGGATTAAGGAGAGAGGGCTGGAGGAGAGAGGGCTGTAGGAGAGAGGGCTGGAGGAGAGAGGGCTGGAGGAGAGAGGGCTAGAGGAGAGAGGGTTATAGAGGAGAGAGGGCTGAAGAAGAGTGGGCTGAAGGAGTGAGGGCTGAAGGAGAGAGGGTTGAAAGAGTGAGGGCTAAAGGAGAGAGGGCTAAAGGAGAGAGTGGTATAGTAGAGAGGGATGAAGAAGACAGGGCTAGAGGAGAGAGGGCTGACGGAGAGAGTGCTGAAGGAGTGAGGGCTGAAGGAGCGAAGGCTGAATGAGAGACGGCTGAAGGAGAGAGGCAGAAGGAGAGGGCTGAAGGAGCGGCCTGAAAGAGAGGGCTGAAAGAGAGAGGGCTAGAGGAGAGTGGGCTGAAGGAGAGATGGCTGAAAGAGCGAGGGCTGAAGTAAAGAGGGATAGATAGGAGAGGGCTGAAGAAGAGGGAGGAGTAGAGAGGTCAGACATTGAGGGCTGAAGGAGAGAGGGCTGAAGTAGAGGGCTAAAAGATAGAGGGACAGAGAATAGAGGTCTAGAGGAGAGAGGGCTAAAGGACAGAGGGCTAGAGGAGAGAGGGCTGAAAGAGAGAGGGCTAGAGGAGAGAGGGCTGAAGAAGAGATAGCTGAAGGAGAGAGGGCTAAAGGAGTGAGGGCTGAAGGAGAGTGGGCTGAAGGAATGAGGGCTGAAGGAGAGCGGGCTGAAGGAGAGGGCTGGAGGAGAGGGCTGAAGGAGAGAGGGCTAGAAAGGAGAGGTCTGAAGGAGTGAGGGCTAGAGGAGAGAGGGATAGAGGAGAGAGGGCTAAAGGAGAGAGGGCTGAAGCAGAGAGGGCTAGAGAGGAGAGTGCTGAAGGAGTGAGGGCTAAAGGAGAGAGGGCTGAAGGAGAGAAGTTTAGAGGAGAGAGGGCTAGAGGAGAGAGGGATTAAGGAGAGATGGTTTTAGGAGAGAGCGCTAGAGGAGAGAGGGCTGAAGGAGAGAGGGCTAGAGGAGAGAGGGTTATAGAGGAGAGAGGGCTGAAGGAGAGAGGGCTGAAGGAGAGAGGGCTAGAAGAGAGAGTGCTGACGGAGAGTGGGTTAAAGAGTGAGGGCTGAAGGAGAGGGGGCTAGAGAGGAGAGGGCTGAAGCAGAGAGGGCTGAAGCAGAGAGGGCTGAAGGAGACGGCTGAAGGAGTAAGGCCTAGTAAGAGAGAGGGCTGAAAATGAGAGGGCTAAAGGAGAGAGGGTTAGAGCAGAGAGGGCTAGAGAGGAGACGGTTGAAGGAGTGAGGGCTGAAAGAGAGAGGGTTGAAAATGGGCTGGAGGAGAGTGCTGAAGGAGAGAAGGCTAGAGGAGATAGGCTTAGAGGAGAGAGGGCTGAAGAAGAGAGTGCTGAAGGAGAGAAAGCTAGAGGAGAGGTCTGAAGGAGTGAGGGCTGAAGGAGAGAGAGCTAGAGGAGAGAGGGCTAGATGAGAGAGGGCTGAAGGAGTGAGGGCTGAAGGAGAGAGGGCTAGAGAGGTGAGGGCTGAAGGAGAGAGGGGTTAAGGGGGCAAGGGCTGAAGGAGTGAGGGCTGAAGGAGCGAAGGCTGAAAGAGAGACGAAGGCAGAAGAAGAGGGCAGAAGGAGAGGGCTGAAAGAGAGAGCTAGAGGAGAGAGGGCTGAAGAAAAGAGGGCTGAAGGAGAGAGGGCAGACGGAGAGGGCTGAAAGTGAGGGCTGAAGAAGAGAGGGCTAGAGGAGAGAGGCCTGAAGGAGAGAGGGCTAGAGGAGAGAGGGCTGAAGGAGAAGGGCTGAAGGAGCAAGGGCTGAAGGATAGAGAGGGCTAGAGGAGAGATGGCTAGAGAAGAAAGGGCTAGAGGACAGAGGGATGAAGAAGAGAGGGCTAGAGGAGAGAGGTCTGAAAGAGTGAGGGCTGAAGGAGAGACGCTAGAGAGGAAAGGGCTGAATAAGAGAGGGCTGAAGGAGAGGGCTGAAGGAGAGAGGGCGAGAGGAGAGAGAGATGAAGAAGAGAGGGCTAGAGGAGAGGGGGCTAAAGGAAAGAGGGCTGAAGGAGAGAGGGCTGAAGGAAGAGGGCTGAAGGAGAGAGGGCTAGAGGAGAGAGGGCTGAAGGAAAGAGGGCTAGAGGAGAGAGGGTTAGAGGAGAGAGGGCTGAAGGAGAGAGGGTGCTTAAGGAGAGAGGGCTAGAGAGGAGACGGTTTAAGGAGTGAGGGCTGAAAGAGAGAAGTCTGAAGGAGAGGGCTGGAGGAGAAGGCTGAAGGAGAGAGGGCTAGAGGAGAGAGGGCTAGAGGACAGAGGGCTAGAGGAGAGAGTGCTGAAGGAGAGGCCTAGAGAAGAGAGAGGGCTAGAGGACAGAGGGCTAGAGGAGAGAGGGCTGAAGAAGAGAGGGCTGAAAGATCGAGGGCTGAATGAGAGAGGGCTAGAGAGGAGAGGGCTGAAGTAGAGAGGGCTGAAGGAGAAGGCTGACGGAGAGAGGGCTGGAGGAGAGAGGGCTGAAGGAGAGAGGGCTAGAGGAGAGAGGGCTGAAGGAGAGAGGGCTAGAGGAGAGAGGGCTGAAGGAGAAGGCTGAAGGAGAGAGGGCTGGAGGAGAGAGGGCTAGAGGTAAGAGGGCTGAAGGAGAGAGGGCTAGAGGAGAGAGGGCTGAATGAGAGAGGGCTAGAGGAGAGATGGCCGAAGGAAAGAGAGGGCTAGAGGAGAGAGGGTTAGAGGAGAGAGGGCTGAAGGAGTGAGGGCTGAAGGAAAGAGGGGTTAAGGGGCAAGGGCTGGAGGAGTGAGGGCTGAAGGAGCGACGGCTGAAAGAGAGACAGCTGAAGGAGAAGGGCAGAAGGAGAGGGCTGAAGGAGAGGGCTGAAATATAGGGCTGAAGGAGAGGGGGCGGAAGGAGAGAGGGCTAGAGGAGAGAGGGCTGAAGAAGAGAGGGCTGAAAGAGCGAGGGCTGAAGTAAAGAGGGATAGATAGGAGAGGGCTGAAGGAGAGTGTAGTGGCTTCCTTTCCTCTTTACCATAGCCACTGCCCTAGCCTGAAGCGGGGTTGTTTCGGACGCATACAGTCCACACTCAACGTTTCCAAACGGCCAAACATTCAATGAGATCCAGGGATATAGTGCAACAAAAATGTTTATTCTTCTTATCTAACAAAAAGGTATTCTCCAATCAACTTAAAGCAGAGATTACTTGAAATGCAAATACATAATATAATATGACCTGTCTGTCTGTATTTCTGTATGTCTATATGGTCAAAAAACTATACCGCTCCCGCATCTAGCAAGGACTCCTCCCCCCGAAGGCCCAACTTCCTGCCTTTATACTAATACAATTAACACAGTACAATGAATGGGCGAGAGGGGGGGCCAAAAACTGAGTTACACTAATAACAAATGAATATATCTCAATCCGGTAAATAAATCATAAAGGTACGTACCTAATATTTCATCATATACATTAATATTTAATATATTTACACAAATGTACATGGAGCTCAGTATGTTCAGTCTTTTATACAAAATATGCCCAAATCGGCTCTAACAGAGAGAGTGCTAGAGGAGAGAGGGCTGAAGGAGAGAGGGCTAGAGGAGAGAGGGCCGAAGGAAAGAGAGGGCTAGAGGAGAGAGGGTTAGAGGAGAGAGGGCTGAAGGAGAGAGGGCTGAAGGAGAGAGGGCTGAAGGAAAGAGGGGTTAAAGGGCAAGGGCTGAAGAAGTGAGGGCTGAAGGAGCGAAGGCTGAAGAAGAGAAGGCTGAAGGAGAGAGGGCTAGAGGAGAGAGGGCTGAAAGAGAGAGGGCTGAAAGAGTGAGGGCTGAAGTAAAGAGGGATAGATAGGAGAGGGCTGAAGGAGAGGGAGGAGTAGAGAGGTCAGAAGGAAAGGGCTGAAGGAGTGAGGGCTGAAGGAGAGGGCTAAAAGAGAGAGGAATAGAGGATAGAGGGCTAGAGAGAGGGCTGAAGGACAGAGGGCTAGAGGGCTAGAGGAGAGAGGGCTGAAGGAGAGAGGGCTAGAGGAGAGAGGGCTGAAGGAGAGAGGGCAGAATGATAGGGCTGAAGGAGAGCAGGCTGATGGAATGAGGGCTGAAGGAGTAGGGCTGAAGGAGAGGGCTGGAGGAGAGGGCTGAAGGAGAGAGGGCTAGAGGGGAGAGGGTTAGAGGAGAGAGGGCTGAAGGAGAGAGGGCAGAATGATAGGGCTGAAGCAGCGAGCGCTGAAACAGTGAGGGCTAGAGGAGAGAGGAATAGAGGAGAGAGGGCTAGAGGAGAGAGGGCTGAAGGACAGAGGGCTAGAGGAGAGAGGGCTAAAGGAGTGAGGGCTGAAGGAGCGAGGGCTGAAAGAGTTAGGGCTGAAGGAGAGATGGCTAGAGGAAAGAGTGGTAGCGTAGAGAGGGATGAAGAAGAGAGGGCTAGAGGAGAGAGGGCTGAAGGACAAGGTGCTGAAAGAGAGAGCTAGAGAGGAGAGGGCTGAAGGAGTGGGGGCTGGAGCATAGAGGGCTGAAGGTTAGAGGGCTAGAGGAGAGAGGGCTGAAGGAAGGAGAGGGCTATAGGAGAGAGGGTTAGAGGAGAGAGGGCTGAAGGAGAGAGGGCTAGAGGAGAGATGGCATAAGGATATGGCTGAAGAAGAGAGTGCTGAAGGAGAGAGGGCTGAATGAGAGGATTGAAAGGGAGGGCTAGAGGAGAAAGGGATGGAGAGAGGGCTAGAGTAGAGAGGTTTAGAGGAGAGAGGGCTAGGGGAGAGAGTGATGAAGGACAGAGGGCTAAAAGAGAGAGGCTTAGAGGATAGAGGGATAGAGAAGAGAGGGCTGAAGGATGGAGGGCTGAAAGAGAGAGGGTTAGAGAGGAGAGCGCTGAAGGAGTGGGGGATGAAAGGAAGAGGGCTGAAGTAGAGAGGGTTGAAGGACAGAGGGCTGAAGGAGAGGGATGAAGGAGAGGGCTGAAGAAGGGACGGCTGAAATGAAGAGGGCTGAAGTAGAATGGGCTGAAGAAGAGGGCTGAAAGAGAGAGGGCTAGAGGAGAGAGTGCTAGAGGAGAGAGGGCTGAAGGAGAAAGGGCTAGATGAGAGAGAGCATAAGGATAGGGCTGAAGGAGAGAGGGCTGAAGGAGAGAGGGCTGAAGTAGAGAGGGCTGAAGAAGAGTGGGCTAGAGGAGAGGGCTGAAGGGGAGGGTTGAAGGAGGGAGGGCTGAAAGGAAGAGGGCTGAAGGAGAGAGGGCCTGAGGAAAGAGGGCTAGAGGAGAGGGCTGAAGGAGAGAGGGCTGGAGGAGAGAGTGCTGAAGGAGAGAGGGCTGAAGGAGTGAGGGCTGAAGGAGGGAGGGCTGAAGGAAAGGGCTGAAGGAGGGAGGGCTGAAGGAAAGGGCTGAAGGAGGAGGGCTAGAGGAGATAGGGCTGAAGGATAGAGGACTAGAGGAGAGAGGGCTGAAGGAGTGAGGGCTAGAGAAGAGTGGACTGAAGGAGGGTGGGCTGAAGGAGAGAGGGTTAGAGAGGAGAGGGCTGAAAGAGTGAGGGCTGAAAGGTGAGAGGACTGAAGGAGGGAGGGCTGAAGGAGAGAGGGTTAGAGAGGAGAGGGCTGAAGGAGTGAGGGCTGAAGGAGAGAGGGTTAGAGAGGAGAGGGCTGAATGAGTGAGGGCTGAAGGAGAAAGGGCTGAAGGAGAGGGCTGAAGGAGGAGGGCTAGAGGAAAGAGGGCTAGTGAAGAGAGGGCTGAATGAGAGAGGGCTAGAGGAGAGAGGGCTGAAGGAGAGAGGGCTGAAATAGAGAGGGCTAGAGGAGAGAGGGCTAGCAGAGAGAGGGCTGAAGGAGAGGGCTGAATGAGAGAGGGCTAGAGGAGAGAGGGCTCGAGGAGAGAGTGCTGAAGAAGAGAGGGCTTAAGGAGAGAGGGCTGAAGGAGAGGGCTGAAGGAGGATGGCTAGAGGAGAGTGGGCTGAAATAGAGAGGGCTAGAGGAGAGAGGGCTAGCAGAGAGAGGGCTGAAGGAGAGGGCTGAATGAGAGAGGGCTAGAGGAGAGAGGGCTGGATGAGAGAGTGCTGAAGGAGAGAGGGCTGAAGGAGTGAGGGATGAAGGAGGGAGGGCTGAAAAAGAGGGCTGAAGGAGGGAGGGCTAGAGGAGAGAGGGCTAGAGGAGAGAGGGCTCGAGGAGAGAGTGCTGAAGGAGAGAGGGCTAGAGGAGAGAGGGCTGAAGGAGAGAGGTTTGAAGGAGGAGGGCTAGAGGAGAGTGGGCTGAAGGAGTGAGGGCTAGAGGAGAGAGGACTGAAGGAGGGAGGGCTGAAGGAGAGAGGGTTAGAGAGGAGAGGGCTGAAGGAGTGAGGGCTGAAGGAGAGAGGGTTAGAGAGGAGAGGGCTGAAGGAGTGAGGGCTGAAGGAGAAAGGGCTGAATGAGAGGGCTGAAGGAGAGGGCTGAAGGAGAGGGCTGAAGGAAAGAGGGCTAGTGAAGAGAGGGCTGAATGAGAGAGGGCTAGAGGAGAGAGGGCTGAAGGAGAGAGGGCTGAAATAGAGAGGGCTAGAGGAGAGAGGGCTAGCAGAGAGAGGGCTGAAGGAGAGGGCTGAATGAGAGAGGGCTAGAGGAGAGAGGGCTCGAGGAGAGAGTGCTGAAGGAGAGAGGGCTTAAGGAGAGAGGGCTGAAGGAGAGGGCTGAAGGAGGATGGCTAGAGGAGAGTGGGCTGAAGGAGTGAGGGCTAGAGGAGAGAGGACTGAAGGAGGGAGGGCTGAAGGAGAGAGGGTTAGAGAGGAGAGGGCTGAAAAAGAGAGGGCTGAAAGGGAGAGGGCTGAAGAAGAGAGGGCTGAATGAGAGGGCTGAAGGAGGGAGGGCTGAAATGAAGAGGGTTTAAGGAGAGAGGGCTGAAGGAGAGAGGGCTGTAGGAGAGAGGGCTAGAGGAGGGAGGGCTAAAGGAGAGAGGGCTGAAGGAGAGAGGGCTAGAGGAGAGAGGGCTGAAGGAGAAAGGGCTGAAGTAGACAGGGCTAGAGGAGAGAGGGCTAGCGGAGAGAGGTGCAAATTCAGGTATGACCTGTTTCACTCTGTTTCTAAATGTTTTCTCACTAGTGAACATGACCCTGTTGTGTCTCCAGGCCTGTCTGTGATGCATTCCCAGACCAGTGACTACCTGGATGTAGGGAACAACCCCAGAGTGGGCACCAAACGTTACATGGCCCCGGAGGTCCTGGACGAGAGCATCCGCATGGACATCTTTGAGTCATACAAGCAGACAGACATCTGGGCCCTGGGCCTAGTCCTCTGGGAGATTTCCAGAAGGACCATAGTAAACGGTAACACACACACACAGGCATGCACACACACACAGGAACACACATGCAACTATGAGGTCAACGAAAACGCTCTGCCGTCTTTAATTGAAACATGTACTGTGGTCCAGTTGGTAAGCGCGTGGTGCTGGTAACATCAAGGTCATGGGTTCAATTCCCACAGGGATCACATGAACTTGTGCTGTACTCTCTGTACTGTACTGTATAAAAGCTTCTGTCTGAACGCATATGAAGCCTTTTAAACCAAAGGGACCTGGGGTAGGTTTCTCATGATTGAACAAGTTAATACACATACTGGAGCACACCATCCACTCAAACATTGAAATTTGAATTGTCTTAGTCTTAATACTAGTGCACCAGGACTATTGGACCTCTAGAACATGTATCCTCTGTCCCAAATGACACAATATTCCCTATGTAGTACACTGCTTTTGACCCCTTTGAGTCCTGGCCAAAAGTAGTGCACTATATAGGGAATAGGATGCCATTTGGGATGCAACTGAACGGTGTAGGAGGGAGTTAGTACATGTCTCTCTTCACTACAATGTTGTTCTATCTGGCAGTCTGTCTTTCTCTATCCTCTCTCATGATTAGCCCTTTAGTCATTATAAACGCTCTTATCTAGTGTCAGCACTCTCCCACCTCACATAGTCCAGATGCTCTCTCTCTCTTTATCTCTCTCTCTCTCTCTTTGTCTGTCTCTCTCTGTCGGTCTCTCTTTCACATACATGCACACAAACACACACTTGGTCGCACGCACATATACATACACAGTTGCACACACACACACACACACACACACACACACACACACACACACACACACACACACACACACACACACACACACACACACACACACACATACACACACATACACACACACACACACACAACCAAGCCTCCCAGAACTCAATCACAATACACTCTCTCTCCAGGGATTCTGTATCTTCTCTTTTTTGTCCAAGATATACCCAACACTCCTGTTCTCCACTATCTGAATTTCAGAGAACTATTTCAGTCCTTTGTGAAGGAAAAGATGTATACCGTATGTATATGAAGCCAACATATACAACCCAAAATCTACTAAACAGAGAACAGATCTGACATCATCTACTGAACAGTCATTCACCTGTATCTGTTTTTCTGTCATTGGAATCTAGATTGTTATTCCAATGTCACTGTGTGTCATGATGTCTGTAGTGTCATGGTTTCTGTAGTGTCATGGTGTCTGTAGTTTCATGGTGTTGGTAGGTCAGTGTTCGTAGTGTTTGAGTGTCTGGTAGTGCATGGTTCTGTAGTGTCATGGTGTTGTAGTGCAGGTGTCTGTAGTGTCATGGTGTTTGGTAGTGTCATGGTGTCTGTAGTGTCTGTGTCATGGTGTCATGGTTGTGGCATGGTGTGTCATGTGTCTGTAGTGTCATGGTGTCTGGTACGTGTCATGGTGTCTGTAGTTCATGGTGTTGTAGGTCATGGTCGTAGTGTCTGGTGTGTAGTGACATGGGGTCATGTGTCTGTAGTGTCATGGGTTGGTCTGTAGTGGCATGGTGTCTGTAGTGTCATGGTGTTGGTAGCGTCATGGTGTCTGTAGTGTTTTGGTGTCTGTAGTGACATGGTGTGGTCATGGTGTCTGTAGTGTCATGTGTCTGGTGTCTGTAGTCTGTAGTGCATGTTCTGTAGTGTCATGGTGTCTGGTAGTGTCATGTGTCTGGTAGTGTCATGTGTTGTAGTGTCATGGTGCTGTAGTGTTCTGGTGTCATGGGTCTGTAGTGCATGGTGTTGTAGTGGTGTTCTGTAGTGTCATGGTGTCTGGATGTCTGTAGTGTCATGTGTGTACATGGTGTTGTAGTGTCATGGTGTCTGGTAGTGTCATGGTGTCTGTAGTGTCATGGTTGTCTGTAGTGACATGGTAGTGTCATGTGTTCTGTAGTGATCATGGGTGCTGTAGTGTCATGGTAGTGTCATGGTTGTCTGTGCAGTGTCATGGTTGTCTGTGTAGTGCATGTGTCTGTAGTGTCATGGTGTCATGGTGTCTGTAGTGTCATGGTAGTGTCATGATGTCTGTAGTGACATGGTGTCTGTAGTGTCATGGTGTCATGGTGTCTGTAGTGTCATGGTGTCTGTAGTGGCATGTAGTATCGTATGTCATGGTGTCATGGTTATGGTAGTTCATGATGTCTGTAGTGACATGGTGCCTGTAGTGTCATGGTGTCATGGTGTCTGTAGTGTCATGATGTCTGTAGTGTCATGGTGTCTGTAGTGACATGGTATCTGTAGTGTCATGGTGTCTGTAGTGACATGGTAGTGTCATGATGTCTGTAGTGACATGGTGCCTGTAGTGTCATGGTGTCTGTAGTGTCATGGTGTCTGTAGTGTCATGATGTATGTAGTGTCATGGTGTCTGTAGTGACATGGTATCTGTAGTGTCATGGTGTCTGTAGTGACATGGTAGTGTCATGATGTCTGTAGTGACATGGTGCATGTAGTGTCATGGTGTCTGTAGTGGCATGATATCTGTAGTGTCATGGTGTCATGGTGTCTGTGGTGTAATGGTGCCTGTAGTTTCATGGTGTCATGGTGTCTGTAGTGTCATGGTGCCTGTAGTGTCATGGTGTCTGTAGTGGCATGATGTCTGTAGTGTCATGATGTCTGTAGTGTCATGGTGTCTGTAGTGTCATGATGTCTGTAGTGTCATGGTGTCTGTAGTGACATGGTGTCTGTAGTGGCATGATGTCTGTAGTGTCATGGTGTCATAGGGTCTGTGGTGTAATGGTGCCTGTAGTTTCATGGTGTCATGGTGTCTGTAGTGTCATGGTGTCTGTAGTGTCATTGTGTCTGTAGTGTCATGGTGTCATGGTGTCTGTAGTGTCATGGTGTCTGTAGTGTCATGCTATCTGTAGTGTCATGGTGTCTGTAGTGTCATGATTTCTGTAGTGTCATGATGTCTGTAGTGTCATGGTGTCTGTAGTGTCATGGTGTCTGTAGTGTCATGGTGTCTGTAGTGTCATGATGTCTGTAGTGTCATGGTGTCATGGTTTCTGTAGTGTCATGGTGTCTGTAGTGTCATGGTGTCTGTAGTGTCATGATGTTTGTAGTGTCATGGTGTCTGTAGTGTCATGGTGTCATGGTTTCTGTAGTGTCATGTTGTCTCTAGTGTCATGGTGTCTGTAGTGTCATGATGTTTGTAGTGTCATCCTGTCTGTAGTGTCATGGTGTATGTAGTGTCATGATGTCTGTAGTGTCATGCTGTCTGTAGTGTCATGGTGTCTGTCGTGTCATGATGTCTGTAGTGTCATGGTGCCTGTAGTGTCATGATGTCTGTAATGTCATGATGTCTGTAGTGTCATGCTGTCTGTAGTGTCATGGTGTCATGGTGTCTGTAGTGTCATGATGTCTGTAGTGTCATGGTGTCTGTCGTGTCATGATGTCTGTAGTGTCATGGTGCCTGTAGTGTCATGATGTCTGTAATGTCATGATGTCTATAGTGTCATGGTGTCTGTAGTGTCATGCTGTCTGTAGTGTCATGGTGTATGTAGTGTCATGGTGTCATGGTGTCTGTAGTGTCATGGTATCTGTAGTGTCATGGTGCCTGTAGTGTCATGTTGCCTGTGGTTTTCCCACCAAATCCTCCCCACCTCAATCATCATTATGTAAGATGGAATGTTGGCTGACTCCTTTGGAATGAAGACGTAGATATACTGGTACTGACTGTATATGTAACATGTGTTCCTCAGGTGTGATTGTGTTTGTTGTTCCAGGGATAGTGGAAGAGTACCGTCCGCCATTCTTTGACATGGTGCCCTCTGACCCCAGCTTTGAGGAGATGAAGAAGGTGGTGTGTGTGGACCAGCAAAGACCCAGTATGCACAACAGGCTGCACTCCCACCCGGTGAGACACATACACATGCACATACACTGAGTGTACAAAACATTAGGAACACCTGCTCTTTCCATGACATAGTCTGACCAGGTGAATCCAGATGAAAGCTATGGTCCCTTATTGATGTCACTTGTTAAATCCACTTTTAAAAGTGTACATGAAGGGGAGGAGACAGGTTAAAGAAGGATTTTTAAGCCTTGAGACATTGATTGTTTATGTCTGCCATTCAGAGGGTGAATGGGCAAGACGAAATATTTAAGTGCCTTTGAACGGGGTATGGTAGTAGGTGTCAGGCGCACCGGTTTGAGTGTGTCAAGAGCTGCAATGCTGCTGGGTTTTTCACGCTCAACAGTTTCTTGTGTTTATCAAGAATGGTCCACCACCCAAAGGACATCCAGCCAACTTGACACAACTATGGGAAGCATTGGAGTGAACATGGGCCAGCATCCCTGTGGAACGCTTTCGACACCTTGTTGACAAATTGAGACTGTTTTGCATGCAAATGTGGGGTGCAACTCAATGTTTGGAAGGTGTTTCTAATGTTTTGTACAGTCAGTGTATATACACGCACACACACACACCACCAATAGTAAAGATATTACAGTGACTTTCTACTGTACATACAGTGATAGAACTGAGTGAGATCTTATGATGGGACTCTCTCTCTCTCTTTGTGTACAGATCCTGTCTTCCATTGCCAAGACAATGAAGGAGTGTTGTTTCCAGAGCCCTCCAGCCCGCCTCACAGCTCTCCGTGTCAGGAAGATCCTCTCCAAGTTGGACCAGAACCATGACTACCCCACAGAGAAACTCAAAATGGACATGTAGGCCTCAACTCCAGAATACAAGCAGGATGTCTAGACCTTAACATAAGACTACAACCAGCACACCAACAATAGGGTTTATAGTCTTGTATAGAGCCTATCTATATCCTTTGCTACTACGTAAGACTCTCAGTGTCCCATATTTCTGGTGCATCTTCCTATAAGGCCCCCACCAACCTTCAGTATACCGCCTGGATCATTTAATCAGGAATACAATAGAAGGATTTCATGTATTTGCTTTGGCATAATCATCTGCCGAGATCTGGAATGGGACAAGCATTACCATAGACAAATAAGGACTTGGACTTGGATTTTTGAAGAGTTTACTGAAAGGACTTCCACAGAACATGGACATTGTCCTCTCCTAGGGGCCCACCGGATTGAGAGATCATCAGAGTTTGGTCCTTGTTATAGCCTTGTCCTGTGATGCTTTGGGGATGGATGTCTCACTGTTGGATCAGTGAGGCCTTGTGATCATACAGTATGATCATTGCAAGCGGCCGTTAATGTCTTGCTAGTGCCTTATTTGTTTTGATGCACTATACAGAATCTATACATATTGATTGATTTTGTATTTCCTGGAAGCCCTTTGAGCTGACCATCAACAGTACCCTGGTAATGCTCCCATTACTGAAATGTGTTACTCATGATCATAATATAAGCCTAGAGCTAATTAATTAGTTGTATCTAACAATATAATATTGTATCTTTCACCAGCATTGGATTTACTGTAAAAGCTGCTCAAAGTAAAGCACCTACAGTTGAAGTCGGAAGTTTACATAGTCGGTTTACATACAATTAGGTGGAGTCATTAAAAACCGTTTTTCCACCACTCCACAAAATGTCTTTGTTAACAAACTATGTTTTGGCATGTCGGTTTATGGACATCTACTTTGAGCATGACACAAGTCATTTTTCCAACAATTGTTTACAGACAGATTATTTCACTTATAATTCGCTGTATCACAATTCCAGTGGGTCAGAAGTTTACACACACTAAATTGACTGTGCCTTTAAACAGCTTGTAAAATTCCAGAAAATGATGTCATGACTTTAGAAGCTTCTGATAGGCTAATTGACATAATTTGAGTCAATTGGAGGTGTACCTGTGGATGTATTTCAAGGCCTACCTTCAAACTCAGTGCCTCTTTGCTTGACATCATGGGAAAATCAAAAGAAATCAGCCAAGACCTCAGAAAAAAAATTGTAGACCTCCACAAGTCTGGTTCATCCTTGGGAGCAATTTCCAAACACCTGAAGGTACCACATTCATCTGTACAAACAATGGTACGCAAGTATAAACACCATGGGACCACGCAGCCGTCATACCGCTTAGGAAGGAGACGCGTTCTGTCTCCTAGAGATAAACGTACTTTGATGCGAAAAGTGCAAATCAATCCCAGAACATGACCTTGTGAAGATGCTGGAGGAAACAGGTACAAAAGTATCTATATCCACAGTAAAACGAGTCCTATATCGACATAACCTGAAAGGCCGCTCAGCAAGGAAGAAGCCACTGCTCCAGAACCGCCATAAAAAAGCCAGACTACGGTTTGCAACTGCACGTGGGGACAAAGATCGTACTTTTTGGAGAAATGTCCTCTGGTCTGATGAAACAAAAATAGAACTGTTTGGCCTTAATGACCATCGTTATGTTTGGAGGAAAAAGGGGGTTGCTTGCAAGCCGAAGAACACCTCCCAACCGTGAAGCACGGGGGTGGCAGCATCATGCTGTGGGGGTGCTTTGCTGCAGGAGGGACTGGTGCACTTCACAAAATAGATGGCATCACGAGGAAGGAAAATTATGTGGATATATTGAAGCAACATCTTAAGACATCAGTCAGGAAGTTAAAGCTTGGTTAAATGGGTCTTCCAAATGGACAATGACCTCAAGCATACTTCCAAAGTTGTGGCAAAATGGCTTAAGGACAACAAAGTCAAGGTATTGGAGTGGCCATCACAAAGCCCTGACCTCAATCCTATAGAACATTTTGTGGGCAGAACTGAAAAAGCGTGTGCAAGCAAGGAGGCCTACAAACATGACTCAGTTACACCAGCTCTGTCAGGAGGAATGGGCCAAAAATCACCCAACTTATTGTGGGAAGCTTGTGGAAGGCTACCCAAATGTTTGACCCAAGTTAAACAATTTAAAGGCAATGCTACTAAATACTAATTGAGTGTATATAAACTTTTGACCCACTGGGAATGTAATGAAATAAATAAAATATGAAATAAATCATTCTCTCTACTATTTTTCTGACATTTCACATTCTTAAAAAAAGTGGTGACCCTAACTGACCTAAAACAGGGTATTTTTACTAGGATTAAATGTCAGGAATTGTGAAAAACTGAGTTTAAATGTATTTGGCTAAGGTGTATGTAAACGTCCGACTTCAACTCTATGTATATTAGGATATTTATGTATTTGTATTTTTTTAAATCTGAAATTCTATATGCAATACTTTCAGCTTAGAAATAGCATCATTATCACCACTACCATTCAATATTTAAAAGGGGAATAAAAAACATTACATCGATTACAGGGTATTTCATTTATCCATAGATGTATATTTGTTAACCTACTCAAATTGGTTGAAATGTGTTTCTATGCTGCTCACTTCACACTGACGTTACATTTTAATTAGGCTACTAAAAGATTAGTTGTTACACTGGTAGAGAATAAGGGCGTAATTGTCCACCAGAGGGCACCAGACACTACATAGATAATCTTTGACTCAAATGAATGATCCCTTTGGTTCAATGGAGTAGTCTTCAGCCATGTTTTTCAGCATAGGTTTACAGTCCAATACAATCAAAAATGTAAAAATGGGAATTTTAATGGGACAAACTCCTGCTCAAACATATACATACATTCATATAACAGATACTCTTATATACATACATTCATGCATGCACCCACACAGGCGTATATGCACACACACACTCATGCATGCACACACATGCATGTGTATATGTGTGTGTGTGTTTGTGTGCGCATGCCTGCATACATGTGTGTGTGACCGTGTGTGTATATGTGTGTGGGTGTGTGGGTGTGGGTGTCTGTGTGTGTGTGTGTGTGTGTGTGCGTGTGCGTGCATGCGTGCCTACATGTGTGTGTGACCGTGTGTGTATCTCTTTGTGTTACTGTGAGAGATGTATTTCTCTCCCAGATATTTTTATTTTTTTACCTAGTTACAAACTGCCAAAGTGTGGTGTTAGTGTAGTGTGAAAGAAGCAGGTCTAATTCGGCCAGCACATGTTTCTATTACGTCTGGAGGCTCTATTTCTATTTCCACAAAGAGAAGACATCTAAAGGTTTTCAAAGTTAATCCGTGTCTATTCATGCAGATCAACATAAACTTAGAACACTGTGTGTGAGTGTGGACGGAAATTGATTCCAGTCTATCTGCCCATTCATCTACAATATAATAATAATATAATATGCCATTTAGCAGACGCTTTTATCCAAAGCGACTTACAGTCATGCGTGCATACATTTTTTTTTTTGTGTATGGGTGGTCCCGGGGATCGAACCCACTACCTTGGCGTAACAAGCGCCGTGCTCTACCAGCTGAGCTACAGAGAACCACAATATCGATTCCACAGCCTGTGTGGGTGTGTGTGGGTGTGTGTGGGTGTGTGTGTGGGTGTTACTGTATCTGTCTGGCTGGTGTTGACCAAAGTCCAGAAAGATAATACCCTCCATGCCCCAGTCTGTCTATCTGGCCATGCTGTCAGATTAAGAGCTGGTTATTTTTAACACCGTAGAAGGGGGTTGTTAAAGTATCAAAGGCCAAGCTCTGCTCTCCTTCTGAGAGAGAGAGAGAGAGAGAGAGAGAGAGAGAGAGAGAGAGAGAGAGAGAGAGAGAGAGAGAGAGAGAGAGAGAGAGAGAGGAGAGAGAGAGAGAGAGAGAGAGAGAGAATAACTACCGTGGGATATGCGTCAACAGCAACCTTGGGAAAATCCTATGCATTATCATTAACAGCAGACTAGTTCATTTCCTCAGTGAAAACAATGTACTGAGCAAATGTCAAATTGGCTTTTTACCAAATTACCGTACGACAGACCACGTATTCACCCTGCACACCCTAATTGACAAACAAACAAACCAAAACAAAGGCAAAGTCTTCTCATGCTTTGTTGATTTCAAAAAAGCTTTTGACTCAATTTGGCATGAGGGTCTGCTATACAAATTGATGGAAAGTGGGGTTGGGGGAAAAACATACGACATTATAAAATCCATGTACACAAACAACAAGTGTGCGGTTAAAATTGGCAAAAAACACACACATTTCTTTCCACAGGGCCGTGGGGTGAGACAGGGATGCAGTTTAAGCCCCACCCTCTTCAACATATATATCAACGAATTGGCGAGGGCACTAGAACAGTCTGCAGCACCCGGACTCACCCTACTAGAATCTGAAGTCAAATGTCTTCTGTTTGCTGACGATCTGGTGCTTCTGTCACCAACCAAGGAGGGCCTACAGCAGCACCTAGATCTTCTGCACAGATTCTGTCAGACCTGGGCCCTGACAGTAAATCTCAGTAAGACAAAAATAATGGTGTTCCAAAAAAGGTCCAGTTGCCAGGACCACAAATACAAATTCCATCTAGACACCGTTGCCCTAGAGCACACAAAAAACTATACATACCTCGGCCTAAACATCAGCGCCACAGGTAACTTCCACAAAGCTGTGAACGATCTGAGAGACAAGGCAAGAAGGGCCTTCTATGCCATCAAAAGGAACATAAAATTTGACATACCAATTAGGATCTGGCTAAAAATACTTGAATCAGTTATAGAACCCATTGCCCTTTATGGTTCTGAGGTCTGGGGTCCGCTCACCAACCAAGAATTCACAAAATGGGACAAACACCAAATTGAGACTCTGCATGCAGAATTCTGCAAAAACATCCTCCGTGTACAACGTAAAACATCAAATAATGCATGCAGAGCAGAATTAGGTCAATACCCGCGAATTATCAAAATCCAGAAAAGAGCCGTTAAATTCTATAACCACTTAAAAGGAAGCGATTCCCAAACCTTCCATAACAAAGCCATCACCTACAGAGAGATTAACTTGGAGAAGAGTCCCCTAAGTAAGCTTGTCCTGGGGCTCTGTTCACAAACACAAACAGACCCCACACAGCCCCAGGACAACAACAACAACAACACAACTAGACCCAACCAAATCATGAGAAAACAAAAAGATAATTACTTGACACATTGGAAAGAACAAACAAAAAAACAGAGCAAACTAGAATGCTATTTGGCCCTAAACAGAGAGTACACAGTGGCAGAATATCTGACCACTGTGACTGACTCAAACTTAAGGAAAGCTTTGACTATGTACAGACTCAGTGAGCATAGCCTTGCTATTGAGAAAGGCCGCCGTAGGCAGACCTGGCTCTCAAGAGAAGACAGGCTATGTGCACACTGCCCACAAAATGAGGTGGAAACTGAGCTGCACTTCCTAACCTCCTGCCAAATGTATGACCATATTAGAGACACATATTTCCCTCAGATTACAGTGATCCACAAAGAATTTGAAAACAAACCCAATGTTGATAAACTCCCTTATCTACTGGGTGAAAAACCACAGTGTACCATCACAGCAGCAAGATTTGTGACCTGTTGCCACAAGAAAAGGGCAACCAGTGAAGAACAAACACCATTGTAAATACAACCCATATTTATGTTTATTTATTTTCCCATTTGTACTTTAACTATTTGCACATTGTTACAACACTGTATATATACATAATATGACATTTGAAATGTCTTTATTCTTTTGAAACTTCTGAGTGTAA